ATTAAAAAAAACTGTTCTTTTGAGGTTAAACAAATGTTCATAGTTAATTTAAATAAATTACAAGTTAAAAGGGGCATGGACATTTCTCTTTTTGTATCGAAAAAATATCGAACCGTGAGACTAAAGAATCGAACCGAACCATGAATTTCCTGTATCGTTGCAGTCGTGACCACAGCTAATCAACACATACAGCAGATGACTGTACTCAGTCTGTTTTACAGGAGGTCCATTATGATGTGGTAGTAGCTGAGAGTCATTCACAACCCACACTTTAAGCATGACATCACATAAAGTTGTATGATATGGAACATAATGTTAAGTTCATGTTAGACCAAAACAGCTCCACTTTGTCATCAGATGTCGTGTAAAACTGTGGAAAGAAAGGCTGCAGGTTGAGGCTAGACCTGTTATTGTTTGTTTAGTTTAAGACTCACTCTTTACTTCCTCTCATGTCATCTTTGTGTTTGTAATGATTGTATCATTAATATGTGTGTTTTTATCTTTCTATAGAAACTACATGTTTAACTATTTTTCTTCCTGTCCTTCCAACCACCAGCTGGCCAAGAGCTCTTCATCCTGAGCCTGGTTCTGGTCCTGGTTCTGTTACAAGTTTCTGCTGGGGACACACTGTTCATCAAAGTGAAGAATCAGTGCAGTCTGCTGGCTTCTTTAAATAACGGTAACGCTTTCTTTTACAGTACCCTTATTACCATGAAATTACAAGGTAATAAAAAACCCAACTAAATGTAATTACTACCTTATTACCATGAAATTACAAGGTAATAAAAATTTACCAAAATTAATTACTACCTTATTACCATGTAATTATAACGTAATTAAAAATGAAAATAAATGTAATTACTAACTTATTACCATGTAATTACAAGGCAATAAAAAATCAAATTAAATATAATTACTACCTTATTTAATGTAATTACTACCTTATTTCCATGTAATTACAAGGTAATAAAAAATTTTAATAAATGTAATTACTATCTTATTACCATGTAATTACAAGGTAATAAAAATTTTAATAAATGTAATTATTACCTTTTTACTATGTAATTACAAGGTAATAAAAAATGAAATTACTACCTTATTACCATGTAATTACAAGGTAATAAAAAATCAAATTAAATGTAATTACTACCTTATTACCATGTAATTACAAGGCAATAAAAATGAAATTAAATGTAATTACTATCTTATTACCATGTAATTATGTGGTAATTAGGGTATAAAAGAAAAAACTGCTGTTAGTAAAACTACCTTTATTGGGTAACTACAATCAAATTACTATTCAATGGTAACTCAACACTTTATTAAAACCAAATGAATGCAACTAAATTTTGGGTTTAGTGGTTAATTACAATAAAATATAATTTAAAACTGTCCAAATTACCTACTACTTATTTAGGTGTTACATAGTGAACTGTAATATATTACCAGGTAAGTGCTACATTACTGCAGACAATTACATACTAAAATTGTACCCTAATTACCACGTAATTACATGTAATAAGGTAGTAATTACAATTAATTACATTTTATTACCTTGTAATTACATAGTAATAAGGGTACCTTAAAATAAAGCATTACCTAAATAACTTTTTACTAATTAGTACATCATGAAGTACTGAATGCATTGTGTTGTAACAAGGATTACTCAGTGTAGATCTGTTTTGGACTGCATTGATTTGATGATTTGGTGTAATAATGTGTTTTGTTTGTCTTCTCGGTGACTTGTCACCATATAAACAAACTGAAATGAGCTGGACTTGGATGAAGCAGCAGCAGAGCAGAGATCCTGTAAATATCGGAGGAAACTGTTGAATCGTGACAAAGCCCTGAGGAATGTAGTCGGACATTTCTTACATTTTTGTTGCCTGACTTCTTCTCTGAGCTGCAAAGCCCTGTCTGTCACTGACTGCCAGAGCTTGTTTGATGGAAACGCAGAAGAAGACAAAAATATGTCTTCTGGTTGGTTTTCAGGCCTGTGAATTCAGACAGTTTGTGAAAATAAAGACAAGTGGAAAAAACGTCTGCAGTTCAGAGAGTCGTGGAAAGTTCCAGGTTTGTCAGGAGGAAGGTGAGCTTCAGTGTGAGCACAGGAAACACTCAGTGCACTTCACCTACGTTCATCCTGCAGTTTACACTGACATCATCCTCCAGTTTACACTGACGTCATCCTGCAGTTTACACTGACATCATCCTGCAGTTTACACTGACATCATCCTGCAGTTTACACCGACATCATCCTCCAGTTTACACTGACGTCATCCTGCAGTTTACACTGACGTCATCCTGCAGTTTACACCGACATCATCCTGCAGTTTACACCGACGTCATCCTGCAGTTTACACCGACGTCATCCTGCAGTTTACACCGACGTCATCCTGCAGTTTACACTGACGTCATCCTGCAGTTTACACTGACGTCATCCTGCAGTTTACACTGACATCATCCTGCAGTTTACACTGACATCATCCTGCAGTTTACACTGACATCATCCTGCAGTTTACACTTTACACTGA